ATTGTGCTTTGTGTTGAGATGGTCACCTTCTTGTTGACCTTAAATGGAAATGAGGTTTTGATTCTTTTTCAGGGACAAATCAATTTAATCTTCTATATTTTCATATTCAACAGAACGAATTTGAATATGCTCACGTGTTAGAATTATTTTGTCATCGACTGGCACAGATAATCAATTAGTGGCTTCATTACCATCATTCACAGCTTTTGGTGAACTTTACAATCTTTAAGTTTTAATTTCTTTCCATTTTTGCAGGGGGGGGGGGATAAGATCGAACGGGGTTACTGCAGTGGATGTCTGAAGAAAATCTATATCTGACGTTGGTTGGAATGGGAATTAACCTGAGAAGTTGAGATGAAAAGCCTAGACAGCCAAATATTCTGGATTTTGCTAGCATAGCAAAAGTACCTTGGGGTATGATTTTCTAGTGGAAGTATTTAATTACAATAAATTGAATTAGTTCAAATCCAGACAATTCCAGGTACTGACTTACAAAGGAATTTCACAAGAATTTAGTGAAACAAAGAGTGCTCACCTCCTCCTCCCAACCCCCACTTGCTGCTAGAAAAAAGGACAAGTGAGATAAACCAGCTTACTAGTTAGGAACTTGTTCAAAATTTAGTAATGGAATGTTGTTACTTTTTTTTAACACTAGCCTCAATTATGTCTTGATTGTACATGAGGTTAAAAAATTTGGTCTGAACTGATGATGATGATACCAATCCACTCCCCCAACCCTTGTTCCTGGTTACATGCAATTCAACTAGTAACCTACCACCTGAAAGAACTGCATTACCCATAAATACAGGGACCCACCAGCAATCATCTTTCACAGATGTAGCAGAGTGACAGAAATCTGCAGTCATCTGTGACTGAAGAAGTCAAAGTTGGACTATTTGTCTTCTGACTAGCCATTCACTCAGACATGCAAAGTAAAATGATATGGTTAAGTTGAACACTGGTGTTATCGTTGGATAATTAGCATCCAACAATGTTACAATAATAGTCAAATGATAAGTAAAAGTTGAGTGGTTGTGTGCAAAATGGAGGAAAGATAGGTGGCAAGTTCAGGTCATTAATACCACCACCACCACCACCTCTTAAGTCTTGTCAGTCATGCTCATAAAAGGGAAGGTAATCAAAGTTTAATAACATGACTTTGCGTGTCTTAATTATTATTGTATGGCTAAACAGCTTGACACAGGAAGACAACCTGCTCTTTGCGCTTGTCATCAAACACAGTGACTCAGAGACAACCAGACTCTTGAAAGTGGCTTGGTCTTCAATATTCAATATTAGTAATGAACTGGACTCCTTTGATGGAGACATGTCATCCCTGACTAAGAAAAGGAATCATTCTAAACAGTCACATCCTACAGGAAATGCAGGTGACGTAATGGAAAGTGGCTTTAACTTTGAATTCCAGTCAAGTTCATTGCAATTTTGTAACGAAAGACATGACTTACCTCGGAATTCGAAACTAGCGCAAACGTGTCTTGCCTGCAAAGTGATGACAAAAAAAAAAATATGGCCGCTATTGAAGACAATTTATGCATGCCTATCTCCTCCAAGACGATTTATTTGCACACATGCAAATTTTGGCCATCTTGGAATAGCAGAAAAAGCGGGGTGCCAGCAGCACAGGGCGAAGTCATTCGACAGACTGTGTGTGTTAGAGTTGGACATACAGACAGACAAAGAGGAAGTAGGTGCAGCTGAGTTGGTGTCTTTCACAACTGCCCAGTGTAACAGCCAAGAAAGGGAGCCATGCAATCCATTTCCTTGAGGTGACTGAAGAAGAAAAAGAGCTGGCCTGCCAGCGAGCGTTGCACTGCACTTTTTGACCCCACCTCATTATTATTTATTTTTTGCTACAAATTTACTCATGCAACCTTTAAACAGTCAGATGATGTAAGGATGGTTGGGTTCATTATCAAGCACAACCCCCAGCAAAAGAGTAATGGAGGTGTTAATGCTACCCCACTACTGCATGCTGTAGTCAAGCCTTAGATTAAAGGCTGATCCAGAGCAGCTAATGTAGATTCCAGCAGGAATCTGCTCCCTCTCATAACCTGAGGGTGGTTGGGTGAAAATTTTCATCATGTCACCCTTCCCCACCCTATCTCAACATGTGGCCGCCTTGCTCCCCTGATTGGAACTTCCTGGATTAAATCATCTGAAGCATCGTCAAAAGGATGACCAACCAACATCCCCACAACACCAAAGACTCAAACCCTGCCATTATACACTGCCAACATAAATATTATCCAGTCATGAAGTCAAATCCTTTTCTGGTTTTTCTTGGTTGAACACGTGCATTTTTATTTATTTTTTTTTTTTTGTTAATTATTCTCTTTTCTATTGAATATCTTTCTTTTTCTATATGACTGGTTTTCAATTACTTGACACACACTGTACACAAAAGCACTCACTTATAGGCATAAGTCCAGCTTTAAAAGTATACCATAAATAAAATAAAACTAAACCAACTTGCAAAAAACACCTAAGCCCCAACCCTTTCTTTATCTAACATTTGTGGCCTTCATAACAATTTCTGCAATGTAGAATCATTTCTCTTCAAATGTTTTCCAGACATACAAGCTCTCTGTAAAAATAGTCTGAACTCTTCAATCTCTTCCATTGAATTCTCTGTTCCTGGCTAACTTCCTCTCTTTCGAAAGGACTCTATTGTCCACATGCATGACCTCATTATCTATATTCACAAGCATCTCTCAGTGGCAAAGGAACAGTCTCTTGAGTCTCTGGATTGTTCCTACATGTGCTTCTGACTTTCACTAAAAAAACTCAGTTATCTCTTCTTCCTTTATCATTCCCTTTCTTCTCATGACTGTTGCTTGATAGATAGAATTTCTGATAGTATAGATAAGGCCTGCACTCTACACTTATCTGCAAACATCTTTGTGCTCAGCAACTTCAATGCCCATTATGTCAAGTGGCTTTATCACTCTAGCGCCACTGACCTTGCTGGCATCCAGACACTGAAGTACTCAACTGCCCACTTCTCACTCAAACAGTAGATTTTCCCACACATTTCCCAAACTTCTCTACTTGATTTCTTCCTTGCTTCCTCCCTGGACTCAAGTCGTGCTCTGCAGCTCTGTCCTCTTGGAAACTCCGAGTATTGCTGTAGTGTCTATAGATATCTCTTCCCACTCTCCCATCGGGCAAGAATCCCCTATTAAGAGAACATTTCTATTATTAACTCACTGACTGGAATTTATTTCATGATTTCCTTTGCAATGCCCCTTGGATTGATATTTGTTGAGAAATGTGCAACTGAGGTCTCTTCCTGGGTGAAAGCCAGCATTGAAGCTTTTGTGTCATCTTGGAAATACCAAGTGAAACTACAATTTTCTCCTGCCTGTTTAGCCACTATAGCCTACAGGAAACGCTTCTTCCATCTATACCAGAGCAACAGGTCCAATTGCAACAGACATTTATTTGCCACCACTTGTTATGAATGTAAGCATGTTCTTAAAGTTGCAAAGTCTCTATTTGCAGACAGAATGAGACGTTGTATAGCTTATCACAAGTTTGGTTCTGGAGATTACTGGCGGCTCTGCAAGATTGTACTGAACAAGAGCAAATCCTCAGTCCCTCTTCTCTTCAATCAATTTGAAGTGTTTTCATCTACTGCAGATAAGAGCAGAGTGCTTTGCTCAGAAATTCTCAAGGCTACAGTGTCTCTGGATGAATATTTGGCTGAATCCAATTGTTCCCAACATATTGCTTTATGAAGGTCATATTGAACGCACATGTTTATAGTTCATTTCATATTAATGCAGGGTTCCACCAGGGCTCTGTCCTTTCCACTGAGATGAAATGAATTGATTATATCAAATTGCTAGATCTACTGCTAAGATGGTTGGTTCACTGTGTTGTGCCAAGCAATTATTCTCATCAGAATCCCTCTTGCATGTTTATAAATCTACCATTCGTCCATGCATTGAATATTGCTGCCATATCTGGTCTGGTGCTTCTGCTATGCATATCTTGAAACTACAATTATTCTCATCAGAATCCCTCTTGTACGTTTATAAATCTACCATTCGTCCATGCATTGAATATTGCTGCCTTATCTGGTCTGGTGCTTCTGCTATGCATATCTTGAGATTCTTGGCAAAATTCAGAGGAGGGTCTGTTATGTAATCCATCTTGACCTGGCATCTCAACTTCAGTCAATTTCTCAACAATGTGATGTGGCTTCTCTTCATCTTTTCTATAAATATTTCATGGCAAGTGTTCTGATGAGTTTTTTCTCCTTAATGCCTCAACTGCATGAATTTAAGCACAGTACTAGATTGGCAACTAGGTCTCATCATTTTACTGTTGAAATAGCAAAAGATGCAATCATATGTTCTATTCTCATTTCTTTTCTCACACTTCTCACTTGTGGAACTCCTTTTCAATTTCTTGCTTCCCTGCCACCTGTAATCTTAAAAAATTTAAATGCAACATCAATTGCGCTCTTCCTGAACCCTGTTCTTTTATTGTCCTTTTTCCTCACTAGGATGAAATGATTAAAAAAAAAGACAAAAAGATGTCTGCTGTAGAGAAATATTTAGCTATCAAATTTTACAAGTCATCCTTAATGTGTGCTCTACAGTAGCCTTATGTCAGACTAGGGTTATGGTCAGTAAATATTTAGTCGTGTACACAGACAACTATATGAAAAAAGATGCACTGGCTGAAACCTTGAGGAAAATATCAATAAGAAAAAAAAATATTTGTAAAATGTTTTATGTCATTTTGAGTAATTATAGATCACAGTTGCAAAAAGTATCCATAAAATTGGACTTGTATTTCTCCTTATCATTCTAAAATTGAATATTTACAAAGGAATGTCTAAGACAAAATCTTCCCATATAATTCAAGAGATAAGGTGTTGTGGTGATTTTTTTTTTTTTTTTTTTTACTTCATGTCTCCAGTGTGAAAAGTCAATATGGTTGATGGTCATAAAGAACCAATGATCTGTTGTTTACACGTCCTCACATTTTTTGACCTGAAAAAGAAAACCAAATCTCATCAGCAGAAAAGAAAAGCAGGTTTTGCAGTCAACGTTTAAGAAAAAAAAAAATCACATAAGCAGAACAAACAGGACAATCATGAATCAATTTCCATCTCTGGTTATGAGTTATGTGAAAAGGGAAGATAGGATGTATTTAGTTATTTATTATTTTCTTTTTTTGTATACTTTCTTCAGTTCTAAAGTTTAGTATTTGAAATAACATTTATTAGATTTAAGTTATGGGTTACTAATTGTTTAGTCTTTTGAGTCATGATGTAGTTGTAGGTAGCATAGTAGGAATTTGATTTTGTATCTTCATTTGGAAATGATCTTTGATCTTTTGTTCAGAAGTTTATCGTGTTCTGGAAAAGCAATTATTGCTATTTTCTCCTTTAGACCAAAGTCACATTATTCTGAGGTCCTTTTCTCAGCTGGGAAAATAGTCTGTTCCCTGTACCACTCCAGTGGATTTTCATTTGTTTTTGAAGTTTCAAGTATGTTTTGAGAATGTTGTGTTATTTTTTTTTTAAATATGCAAATAGCACAATGTGTATATATAAATTTACACAACAAAGTGCAAACTTAAAAACTGTTATTTAATTAAAATCAAATTAGTGAACTAATAATTAAACACAGCATTCATGTGTCTAGTTAAAATAAATTTAAACAAAAATATGAAATATTTTCATATAAACATTTAAGTCAAGAGCAACCTCACAGGTTCATCGATGAATTTTAAAGCGAAAAGATTTTTCAAAACCAGAAGAGAATGACTCATCTCGGGTGTTATACTCACATTTCAACCATTGTACTTTTCAACCTTCTTCAAGTTATGTCATATTTGCTAACCTTTGAATGAAATCCTTTATTCAGTCAACAAGAGAAGACTGTCTTATTCTTCTTTCCATGTTTGTGAGATATTTTGTCTCAATTCACACCTAGTCTATTCACGTTTTTGTGGCTTGTCTGTTGTGTCCACTGAACCAGAGTGTATCATTTTTCTACACTACCTAACCCAGGGATTGAACAAACAGGAACCAGATATGTTTTAACCAACATTTTAACCCACTAGGACTGTGGTTTAATTTCTAAGCCTTAAATTTGACATATGTATTAAGAGAATGAAACTATTTTAAGTGGGTCCCTTTCTTTCTTAATCAGAATTTCTCAGATGCTAGGTCCACTATGGCGGGGTTGTTCACTGTGATTCGTCTTACCTTCCATTTTTATTCTCTGCTGTATATCTCATAAATGCCATTGATTTTATTCTATAAGGCTGACAATCACCTTTCTCCAGACATGATCAGCCATGCTTAGTTTCAATCTAAGACAAACTGTGTCAAATTTTTCATTGTCCATGACTCCTCTGTCCCTGCACATAGAAACTCTTGTTATGCTTACAGGATCATTCTTAAGGATATTTCTAATAGTCGATTCCCTGTACCACTCCAGTAAGTAGCTGAGACTCAGCTTCCTATCTTTTACTTTTACATGAGTCAGATCAGACCAAAAACGGAGTACCACTGCCATATATGGAGAGCAGCTGCCCAGTCTTCACTTTCTAGTTTCAATAGATTCCAAAAGTGTCTCCACATCCTTGTGGGTGATGAATTATTTTCCACTCTACATCTCCTTTTCCCCAGACTAAATGTAACAAGCCTCTCTCTACTCCATTGCCATTTCCATGGAAAGTGTTCCAGACAAATTACATTCCTTAGTTCCATCAGTTCTAAACTTCATGGCTAAGACCCATCATAGCATGCACATTGTAGCACCCCCCCTCATTCCCTTCGTATTCCATTGGTGTGATATAAGTTCCAATCAAGCAGCTCCTTCCCACAAACTGCTGCTTTGTGGAACTAACTCACAAGAGGATGCTTCTTTGATCACTACAATCTTAACCTTTTTAAGTCTAGGTTTAACCATTATCATCTTCACATATCCCCATAAACTGCACCTCTTACTCTGTAACCCTCTCTCCTCAGTGGTTTTTGGGCCTTGTACAAGGTGAATATTATTGTAAAAAAAAAAAAAAATTCCTGTTGGTATGTGTCTATGTCTCAACTTATGAATTAGGCATGATGCTGTAGTCAGTGGACGATTTTTGACATAAGGGGTACATTTGAAAAGATTAAGATCTGAGTTCCATAAAACATCAAAGGATGGTATTCAAAAGTAGTTCAACCCTTTCTCCTGAGTCAATCAGAAGAGAACATGTCCAAGAACTGTGTGTTTCCCATGCAGGAATGGCAAGTGTTACAAGGCCCCATTTTGCCCTACCTTTTTACACTTACACTATAAAATACAAAACCTAGCTTAAAATGATGACTTAAATCCGTAGCTAATAGATTCCCTTTTTACCTTACGAAAAGCTCCCATTCACCAAACCCTTTAGCTTTTATAATAATAGAATGGAAGTCTCTAGAAACTTCTACTGGGTTCTAGAGGGTACAAAAAACATATATAAACAGGAGTTTGTACCAACTAGCCAGTTGACCTCCTGAACCCACAGCCACGATGACTGAGGTTGACTCCGGAACGTTTCTTCGATTGAAAAAATCTAAGTTCCAACAGTCCTCAAAAGAAAAAGTAAATACTTCACCTTTTATTCTTTGATATTATTGACCAAACTCCTTTATATTATATACATGTGAATATCTAACTATTTTTCTAAGAAGAAAATAATATTATTCTTTGACTAGTGACGAATTCCCATTTGTCGCCTTAACTGTATAAGGATTTCCTCTCCCACTCTCTCATATAGCTACATGTTAAGTCAACTACTTTCTACACACACTTATTAACTGTTAGCATTTCCCAACGTATATTGTTTAAACCTCAGCCCAACTGTTTAGAAAAAATATTGTATTATATGTTAAATAAAACCCACTTTTCGTTATTAGATGTAATCTTTTCCTTCAACTTAAATTTCTAAGAATCTGTTTCATCTTATTTTTGTGTTGTACCAGCCGTAACACAAGGGAGGAGATATTGAAATCAGGCATGACTGATCAGTGTGGAGGGAAAAGAGTGGTCATCAACCCTTATGGAATTAAGTCAAGATAATAGTGAACAACATTCGAAGATAAGTGTTATACTTGACATACCTATTCTATTATTAATAGACTCTCCCACACATAATAAGTAGTAGTAGTAGTAGTAGCAGTCGCCAGTTGGGCTCAGTGGTTTTGAGCGAGTCAGTCGATATTGGACATTGAAGTACCAACCATCACAACTAGATTGCTGCATCATTAACTCTTATTTCAAGTTCCTAACGTTTTGTACGTCGAACCTAATTTAGGACGACTTATGAAATACAAGCCTCCACTGTGAAAACTACTCTACAACATTGGCGACGAGGGATTCGTTTCTTACACGGGAAAAGAAAAACTTTTCATATGCCTAACAACACATTGATGACGAGGGATTCGTAATTCATACGGAAGAAAAGTTTTCGTTCACTCTATAACAACACATTGGCGACCAGAATTCAAAATTCAATAGAATAAAAAAAAAAGTTAAAGAAAAAAAAAAAAATTTGTTTCGCCATATACAACACTTGGCAACGAACGTATTTTGGATTCATACAGGAAAAGAAAAAGTTTGCGTTCGCTCTACAACAGTTACCCAGATTGAATTTACCTGAGGAAAGCTGGAGGACACAAGGACCAAAATATTGTGATAACAGCAGCAAAGATAAGGACAATAGTCCAAATATAAATAAAAAAAGAAACTTTTTACTCCTGCGGAGTAAAGTTTTAAGTGGGGGGATGTTATACCTGACGTACCTATTCTATTATTAATAGACTCTCCCACACATAAGTAGTAGTAGTAGCGGTCACCAGTTGAGCGAGTCAGTCAATATCGGACATTGAAGTACCAACCATCACAACTAGATTGCTGCATCATTAACTCTTATTTCAAGTTCCTAACGTTTTGTATGTCGAACCTAATTTAGGACGACTTATTGAAATACAAGCCTCCACTGTGAAAACTACTCTACAACAATAAGACAACTGAAAGAATTAGCACACATGTTGGACTCAGTAGTCCAAGCATAGAGATGAACACCATCAGGGAAACTGATTAAGAAAATAGGATACACAAGAAAACAATTTTCATCATCTGTGTACAAACATGAGATTTAAGGCTCAAAAATTGAATCACTGAATTATCCAAAAGACACATGAACTAATGGATTAAAATACTGGTTAGAATATATCTAATACTTTCGTGAGTGCAATCCCTGAGTCTAGTAAAGTTGAAAAGTCATATATTCTGGTTAAGACGTAGAAGGTGACACAAAAGTTGAAGAAAACTGGTGAGTATTAACTATACTATTTACATTATTCAGACTATTGTCCTCATCTTTGTCACCATATTTATTACAACATTTCGGCCATTGTACGCTCCGCCTTTCTTCAGGTGGTTGGAATGTCGATCTGAACCCTTTATTTCATTTGCTGGGGTAGACTGTTCTAGTTCCACGTGCCATGTTTAATGGATGCCAGTTATCAGTTATCTCCTGTTAATTCCCCTCTCCAAGTTCTCCACTGGGTATTGAATTCACACTCTTTGGGTCCTGTCATGGGATCTAACTAATGCCTTTATCCATTGTGCTATGTGTCCTTGAAGACCGGAGCGTACAACGGCCAAAACGTTGTAATAAATATGGCGACAAAGATGAGGACAAAAGTCCGAATAATATAAATAGTGTACATAATACCTCATCTCAGAAATATAGACAGATACTGAGTATTAACTAGTATGAAATTTCTTCTAAATATGGGAATAGAATAAAATGTTTGGTCCAAAATTCTGAGAAGGTTAGCAAACATGACAGACAACATGTAGAAGGCTGGAGAATACAACTGAAACAGTGTTTATATAATGACCGACATTAAGTATATGAGTCTAAATGGAAAGTTATATAATCATGATAATTCAAAATCTCACGTGATATAACAAAAAAAGAAAAAAATTCAAAGCAGAGACTCAAGGAAACTAGCAAACAAGATTGTGTACCATTTGTGTCGTTGTACAGCTGATGTCTTCCTTGATTTCATTTGTGGTTGCTATTAATGAATTGTTTCCTGAGGAACCAGCAGAGAGGTTTGAAGGTGTGGCAGCGTTGGTACTGGTGGTGGTATTTGTGGTAGTAGTTGTGACGGCAGTGGTGGCATTAACTCCTGGTGGTGCATTTTTGTGTCCTTCCCCCAACGTTGACCGTTTTTTGTGCTGCCAACGGATATGACGAATTTTCTGAGATAACGTCTTTGAAAAATGAGACTGAAACAAAGGATAAGGAGACGTTTCAATGCAATGGTTCTTTAAAAGAATTTAAGGAAGTATTTTGACAATCAGGTATACAGATTTATTCCATATAGGAATAGCTCTAGTCAAGGTTAAGAATGAGTGTAACAAATTTTCTGTCACTGCCTTAGAAGCTAAAATAGAAGAGAATATCATGTCTGTACACCATACATACAAGGTGTGACAAGTTGAACCATATAGTTTATGCAAGTGTACTGACTAATGAGCAAGCATAAATGACCCATGAAATTTTCAGCCAACTTGCATCTTTACTCCGACATATTGCTTAAAGTCGGCCTGTTTTTCTGATGTGGTCAGTTCAAAAGTCAAGCAATAAAGAATTGTGCAAAATTTGTCTAAGAAACTCTTTATCAATGGAGATAATTCCTGCAATCATTGTGATAATGAGTTACCAATCATTTCAACATTTTCACCATTTCTTGAGATGCAAGGGCATCCATGGCGTTCATCATCAACTTAAATATCTTCTTGACTTTGATAAAATCTCTTGTATCATCTAAACACACATGCCACTGACTTAACATTCATCTGCAGTAGGCTCACACAACAGAGCCAATCAGACATTTGTAGCTTTTGAGCCACCTGAATGATTTTCAACTCAATTATGGAACTTTATTAATCTATTAACAAAACTTTTATATTTCTGATTAAATCCAAAAATGGATTCAGCATCCCACCAAAAAAAAAAAAAAAAAAACCCAGAAGAATAAAGGTCTAGATCATGATTTTCTGATAAATGCAAAAAAAAAGTTATGTCAAAAACCGATATTTGGTGGCTGGCATATGGCACCAAAAGTGAGTAAAGAATAATTTAGTGTAAGAAAGAAATTGAATAAATTTTAAACATCTTATGGAGAACAACTTTCTTACATTTTTTTTTTTTTACGTATTTCACCCCAAGCAAGGCAGGAATGCCACTAGTCTGCAGGGGGTTAACAAAGAGTGAAAGAGAAGACAGAGTATAGGAAGGATTGAGGAAAGGACAAAAGTTGAACAGAATTGATGGCAATTGAACTGCATTTAAATTTTTGACGATTGTAGTTAACAAGGAAGCAAGTAAACAGAAGTGGGTTCCACAGGCAGAAAGTGTGAGAAAAGAAACTGTTGGAGTAGAAGTGGATATTACATTTAACTATTTAAAAAAAAGGGTGGGACCTAGATGCCAATCTAATAGCACACTTAAATTTATGTAGTCAGGGCACCAGGGAATAAATCTTATCAGAGCAGTTGCAGTGAAAATATTTGTAGAAAAGACAGAAGCCACACTGTCTCAGTGAGAAAGTGACTGAGGTTGAGATGCCAAGTCAGAATTGATTACATTGCAGATCCTTCTTTGGATTTTGTCAAGAACTTCAAGATGAATAGCACGGGCACCAGACCAGATATGGCAACAATATTCAATTCACAGACAAATGGTAGATTTGTAAATATGCAAGATGGACTATGGTAAGATAATTTTTCAAGCACTACACAGTGATCCAATTTTCCTTGCAGTAGATGCAACTATTGATTCAATGTAGTCGTTCAACTTCAAGTTAGTGGAAAAAGTGAGACCAAGAAGGCACAATTTGTTGTTCTCTGGGAGTCTAGCATTACATTTTGTAGATTTAAATTGTTTTAATATTTGAAAACTTACACTCAAAAGAAGAATAAAATTTGTCTTGGGTATTTTTTTTTTGTTAGTGTGAGTCAAAAAGAAAAAGCAGGCAAAATAAAGCAATTGTGTTGACTGAATTTTTTGTTTTAGGGCTCAAAAGTCCACTTGATATAATATTCACTTCAACAAAATTCCAATGACTTTCTCAGTAAAATGAGGCAGAAAAGGCAACTATACAGAACTGATCATCTAAAGATGTATGATCAAATATGCATGAGTCTCAATTACTGAACAAAGGACAAAGTTAGATGTGTTCTGAAATCCTGAGACTGCCTCTGTTGTCATATAGGCCACACATATCATTTAGGTAATGTTCGAAAAGTCTGCTTGCAAGTCCACAGATGTCTCTTTCTCTTAGTTTTCAATTGACTCACTAAAAAGATTCATTAGCCATTTTGTTGACAAAAATTCAAAACTGATATTCTGCTCAATTTTTGAACTGACCATTTTAACAACACATCAGAAAAATGTCAACTTCATGTCAACCAATTCTGTGGAAAATAAACAAATTTATTTTTAGTTTTGTTTACATTTTTATTATACAACAAATAGATTTTTATATGAAAAAGTGACACAATGAAAATAATTATTTAAAAAAGTATCATGAATTAATGTTAAGATAACAAAATGATATGAAAATATGCAACAAATGATGTTAATAGCTAACGATTTTTTGTTGACATGGTACACTAAATGCACAAAACAATGAAATTTTCAATTTTTTTTATATATATTTAAAAAATAAAGTTTTGATCTGAAAAAGTGATATACTGAAATGAATATTTTAAAAAAAAGATTCTTAACATTTACAAAGGGTTAGGAAGGAAGCTTCCCTCCGCCCCATCCTTACTGGAAAGAGCGATAACAGTGAACTTGAGAAACCTATTTTCCTGGAAAATTATTTTGATAGATTTTCTAAATTTCAACTGACAGTGGCACTGGTTGCTCAGTTAATGAATATTGACTATTTCCTTATAAGGAAACAGCTATAGATTAGAAGAAAAGATACTATACATGGATCCCAGCCTGATGACCAGGGAATGAAGAAAAGCCAAACTTGTGTAGCACTAATGGCTGCTTGGTTAATGAATGTCAAATGTTTCCTTATAAGAAAGCAGCTACCATATTTCACTGCTTATAAGACACTCTGATGCATTAGACATCCCTACCCCTAAATTTGAAGGAAGAAATTTCGAAAAAAAAATTTTTTCCTTGTACTTCATATCCCTTCCCACTATCGCCAATTTTACCCACTGAATAGCTTATTTCAGCATGAATACCTGACTAAACATGACAAAGTAATCACAGATTGAAAAGAAGTACCAAATTAATGATAACTATTTAGTTTGAATTGGTGAAACAGAGCTGTTGGTAATGAACTCATTGCTGTGGGCACAAGTGAGGATCATCGGAATGTATATTGATGAGTTATTGTTATTGATGATAAACAAAAATGGCTGTTTCAAGCTGCTAGGTGGCTACTATATTTGCTCAGCAATATTTGACACTATTAACTACTGTAAGTATGATTATTTAATCAAGTGAAAATACCCAGCATGTGCTAACGGAAGCGTAGTATTCTTAAAGTGTATATCCTAAATGAATGCTGCTTTGTCACTAGTAGTTTAAAAAGGAAGGAAGGATTTAGTTAAGCAAGTATTACTAGCAAGAATTTCATTTCCTGTCAATATCCCAATATCCTAACTGCATAAATAGCTTCTCTCAAAATATTAATTTAATTTTGAAACACTGGACTTGTTTTACTTTCAAAGGCTCAGAACTGGATTTAACTGGAGAGCTGACACTTACCTCACACTCAAACTTATAACTCCTGTCACTGACCTTCAACTTATAAGACATAGGGTGTTTTTTATATATATTTTATAGGAAAAATGCATCTTATAAGCTGCAAAATATGGTAATGTTACCATTTCTAAAAATGTTAAATTGATCTCTGCCATAATCAGAGACCACAAAATAAATTGTCTAAAACAACTTTTTAATTACACTATATGATACCATTAGTCTCAAGTGGTGCCTTTAGTAAGTAAGAAGCAAGTGTATTTCAATGCAGTAATCAAAAAGAAGCAATTATTGACTTACCCATGGTTGAGGACCTTCCAATCCAATACTTGGATATCTTTGATACAACGCATGACAAAACTCGCGATAATCATGTTTTTCTCGAATGTCTTTTTGAGCCAGAATGTGATACGCGCATTGTTCAACAAGTTTTGACCACACAAACTGTGCCTTGCCACTCTCTAACATATTCTGTAAATATCCATTGAATGAAGGCAAAGAAATAATTGGTTTAATTCGGTGGTTCATGTAGCGGCGCTTCGAGGCAGACTGAGGTAAGTTGGATGGCTACAAAGGAAACATATAAAGAAACCATTACTATTTGAAATCATTGAAATACAGTCATCACACAAATAAATAGTGAATTATTTCATCCTTTTTTATTATAACTTCTAAAAATTTGTAATTTTGTCTTTATTTTGTTCCTAACATTTCCACTTTAATTCTTTAGCCTTAGTCAAGTGTGTGTCCTTTTCAAAGAGATTAGAAAAGAATTCTAATTTCCTAATAAAACTTTTGAATTGAAATAATTTGCAGATCATTTGTAGAAATATTTTCCCATCAATTATTAAGAATGACATTTCATTCTGAGCTCATTCTAGCGAACAGTCAATGTCAAATCAAGGGTCAAGCCGAAATCATTGATTATTGCGGTAGGAAATATGCAGAGAGATTTGCAAGTTAGACTGTTGGGGAAAAATGCACATTTCAGAAAATCACATATACAAGCGGGTGCAGACAGTTCTCAAACTGAGCATTTTTTTAAATTTTGAAGTTTGGTCAAATTTAAGAAGTGCTTTTCAGCAACCCATGTATGTGTAGAGAGAGACACACAGAAAAGTAGACAGAAATTGGAAGTCAAACCAACTTTTTAATAAAGCAAAAATCAATTTCAAATTTTTAATAAAGCAAAAATCAATTTCAAAGTATCTCAGTAAAAACCTAAAAAGAAAACTTTATCCAGTTGAAAATTTCTCATAATCAATTCAGCAATTTAAACGATGCACCAATTTTCGATTTCAAAAGAAAACAAACTAGTCCCATTTTAGACATAGATAGTTGGATTATTATTCATTTTCAATTTGTATTTTCTTTCATCCTTTTGTGTTTTGCTTTTGATCACAACTCTCAGACATGCATTCTCCAGCCAAGAAAAAAATTTGTGGCGTTGGAAAATAAAGAATAAAATTTTTGGCAAAACTCAAATGTAACTTTTCATCAAACCACCTGTTTTAATGAAATCATTGCTTTTCTGATTAGATCACTGGCTGCAGTGATTAAAATCTAACCCTATAGCTATTGTTTCCTTCAACCAACTGACATACTGTGATTATTTTAATACAACATACACTAGTATGAAGTATTGTCAATTAGGAAAATAAATAAAAGGAAATGAAATCTCATCTGAAAAACTGACAGTGTACCAAAAGTCAGAAGCTCTATCCATTGCTTTCTCTGCATCATAGTTGGTTAAGGGAGAGAGAAAAACCCAACAGACTTACCTCCCTTGCTGAATCCTCAGAAGACCAGACGTGTTCGGCGAGGCTCTCTTGCAGTGATTCTTGGTTGTTGTCGCATTCAATATCGGAATCTGTTTTCACCAAAGAAAGACGTTTCCTCAATTCAGTTGAATCCTCTTTTATCAGTAAATATGTCAGCGTAAAGTAAAAACAATTATCAGAAATAGAGAGTGTATGTAAATATAAAAGTGAACATTGAAGTCAACACTGAGGAGGAAGTTTTAAGCATGAAACAGACTGTCGCCATTCATTGTTGGCCTCAGTTTTTACTTTTATATTTACATATGCTCTACCCTTGATATTGTGCACTTTTACCTATAAATATAGGACACACTAAAAACTGTTTTTATCATACATACACACACACACACACACATATATATATATTACACACACACACATATATATATATATATATGCACATACATACACACATATATACACACACGCACATCTGGCGACTCATATTCGATGATACCTGTCTACTAGGGTGGCTAGACAATCCCTATTGCAGATACTTGCTCAGGCATATTTGTGTTTGCTCAACACCCACAGAGCCCACCTGTAGTTTATACTGCAACTATGTTGAGCAGACCTTAGTTACAGTTTCCAGGAGAGAGTATGTTATATAGCGTGATCAACAATTTGAACAAGGTCAGCACGCTCAAGCTCTTGCCAATGATGACTTGTGGCTTTGTGCTAGCACAGCTCTTGAGGGTCCTCAAGTGTTCCATCTAGCCAATTTCACTCACAAGGCTTGGGTCAACCCTTGGTATGTTTTTCAGGCACTTACCAAAGGTGTTACACACTGGGATCGACCTTGATCCATTTTGATAACATTAGAAAGTCTCCTTCCTGACAAATTGACCATGATGAGATTCAAACGCGGATCTTATGGTCAGAAAGCAAATGTTCTAACTACTCTACCATGTGCCCAACATTATATATATATATATATATATATATATATATATATATATATATATATATACATGCACAGATTTTCATCTTTATTTACTTAGAAAAATAAACAAATCTTTATTTGAAGTTTTTCTGGGTTTTTTCACAAAAAAAGATATGTATGTACACACACACACACACACTAGTGTCAGGATGATTAGTTGGAATTGAGAATCGGAAATATCAGAAGTTTTTGGAGCATTGGAAACGGAGAATTTTTAACCTAATTTCCAATTCCAAAAATGATTCTTTAGATTTCTTTTGTTTAAAACTTAATTTTCCATTCCATGTATATAAATATTTATTGATTTTAAACTATCAATAAAACTTAAATCTATAGATCATAATAACACCTAAGTATGATGTAAATTTATTTTACTTGTGTAAAAAAAAATTAAATGTGCAAGTTTCTACCCAGTTCTCAAACTTTCCATAAAATTTGAAAACTGAGTAGAAACTTGCACATTATTTTTTTTTTTCAGTTTAAAATAAAATTTTAATTTTAATTCACTCATTTAATATTATAAATTATTAATTTAATAATTATAATCAAAATTATGCAATATAAACACAAAATGAATTCATGTTGTTGTTCTGCTGGACACTCTTTTAAGACAATTTTTAGTATTTTTTTTTAATTTATAAAAAAAAAAAAAAAAGAATTAATGTATGGAATTCCCACCAATGTCATATCTGATTTCTTCACATAAAATATAGACCTCGTGTCACAAATTGTTCTTGTGGCAGGCTAATTACAACAATTTGTTTTTATAGTATTTTTAATCCATAAAATCATTTTTTAGTCTTGCTTATTGAAAATATTTATTTTTGCTTATGGAGCATACTATGTAAAAAAAAAAATTTTAACTTCAATTTGTTTCTACAAAATTCATGTATTTCTTAAAATTTTGTATCTTTTGAAACAGATTTTCATCTTTAGTTACTTAAAAAAATAAACAATTTTTTATTTGAAGTTTTTCTGAAAAACCTTTTACACAAAAAAGTTTACATTAAAAAACCTAAAATTTAATTTTCATCAAAAATTATATTTAATTTTATTTTACTAATATTTTTCTTTGGCATAATTGAACTTTTCTGTGTTAAATTATTATGGCATTTAAAATATTTTGAACTTTTTTCTCATTTATTCTTCCTCAGAGCCAAATGAGATGCAAGTTTTATAAGTAGAAGTGTATAAAAAAGTTAAAAACAAGTATTTTTATCCCATTTTTATCTTGTGTAATTAAGCTATAGTTTTTCCACTTTTAACATGATTTGTTTTAATATTTTAAAAATAAAACTAGTAAAATTTCATCTTCTAATAATCTAATAAATAACTGAAAAAAATCAAACCCATGCAAAAAATACACTTACAGTTGTCTTCATTCTAATGAAGATTTTAATCATTTTTAATCTTAATTTTATTTTAATGCTTTTTAAAAGTTGAATCTCATACCTTATAAAATGATCAGTGTTATTTAACTTTTTTTTAAATATAAAAGCTTTTAATATTTTTTAAAATTCATTATAAAGTTTGCTAAAATTGCTTAAATTTCTTTAAAAAAATTACAGGACATGTTTTTACTGTGTTGTTGCACTTTTACTCTTTTAACAAAAATTTTAAGGAGATTGCATGATATTTAGATGTTGCCTTTGCTTGTTAAAACTTAAAAGGTGGACAAAAAATAAACCCTTTTTTATTTTACAATTAATAGCAACCATTATTAGTTGAATCTTTACAAATTAAACACATTAGAAAACTAGAAACATTTTTTCTCTAACAGTTAAAAATTTAAATTTTAACCAATGTTTATTATTTTCAGACCCAATTATGGCAAGTGGATCCAATGCTAAGCAGAAAAGTGTAGTTTGGAAGTTTTTTTTTAAGATTTCTGATGACAACCAAAGTAAAGCAATATGTCAATTGAAGCCAACTTAAGGGATTTATATAAAAAAAATTGTTCTCTTTATTGTTTAAAATCTTACACAATTTTTTAAATAAAAAGGATATCTAACTTTATTTCATAAGCATTTGAATTCATTTTTCTACTAAATGTTTTATTAGCAAATGTACTTTGTTCATTAAGTTTCCTAAACCAACTGTAGAGCCTGAAAATAAAGAATTTTAATCATTCTAGGTACTGGAATCAGAATTGGGAATTATATCGGAAGTGTAAATTTAGAATTTTGGGAATTTTATCAGAATCAGTAAAAATATTGGTATCATCCCATCACAAATAAATACGCACACATACACACACATATATATATATATATATATATATATACACTCACACATACATACACACACACACACACACTCAAACATGTATACATCATTCATGAACACATCAACAATTGACAGCACAAATTAAAATAAGATTTGCTAAAAAGAAAGTCATGCAATGTTGTTATTTCATCCAAAACGAGAGATGCCAGCTTAGAGGAAAAAGTATTAACAATTTAATATGGAAGCACAGAAACACACACATATATCTGTTTGGTTCTGATCTGAGAAACCCTATCTAATGATGGCAAAACATGTAATCAATCAGTAATACAGTTTTCAACTTTGTCAAATTTATCAAACATATCCAGAGTCTATAACACACACACATATATATATATATATATATATATATATATATATATATATATATATATATATATATACATACATACACAGGGTGGCAATAAAGTGACTATTCAGTTACAATAACAATTAAGACAAAGCAATTAATCAAAAGTACAGAAATTTATTATTAAAACGGTTCTGGTTAATAACAATAAAATGCTATAGTAAACAATAGTAAATTACTGACATGTTTGGATTGCAAGTCACTTGCTTCAATGCTTTGTTTTTTAAACTGTATAATTTTAAACTGTATAGTGACTTTATTGCCACCCTATATATATATATATGTATGCATGTGTGTGTGTGTGTGTGTGTGTGTATATATATATATATATGAATACATTAATAATGTCAAGCCATTGTTTATTTCATTTTTTTCTTTCACCCTTTTAATTAAAATACTTGATGTTATTAAAGTACTTGAAGGAAAAATGGGCAATGCACATAGTAACAAATTAGCATCTGAGAAAGAGAAATCTATTTAGAAAAATTGGTCAAAGGAATTGGTCAAATATAAGCAGAAAAAAACAAAAAAAACAAATGATGCAAGACAATCAGAATGGAAAATTACTTCTTTGTTTCAACCAGAATGTGAAAAATTTCAACTACCTTTATCTTAATGGCTGACTCATGTTGAGCACAAAATTAGAAAGCATACCGAGATGCCTAAATTGTTGTTCAAATAAACTTGCATATAACTTTTCCCTGTTACGAAAAGAAAAACAAAAAAAATTACAGGAAATAAAGAGAAAGAAATTTCTTTGTCAAATGTTTTCACAAAGTGAACTTACCTGAATCAATTCTCAAACAATCTTCTGTATTTAACAACCTGTTACAACTGTTTGAGTTTTCAATGTTTAAAGCAAAACTTTCATTATCAGTGCAGTGTTTAACGTCTTCCAGTTTTATCTCTGGAACAGGTTCATTCACTGTTTCTACATTGTTAGGATTGTTAGAAGCAGTATTGTGGAAATTACCATTCTTTATGTCTATGGAACCTTGCAAAAGCCGTTTTTCCTTAATACTGCCAGAAGAGAGTGCAGCGGAAGAATTCCAGTTTTCCGGTACATAATCATTTTCACACTCCACATCCATCAACAGTTCCATCTGGGGTTCAACTTGAACAAGGTTCAAGTCATTCTCTGGTTCAGGGTCAACGTCGATGTGCTGTACGGAAGATTGATTTTGATAAGCCTGTTCCCCAGGAACATAACTTCGAGTAATGTTTGCTTGTTGAGAAGTGGAGCAATGCTGAGAGTAACTGATGCCATTGTTGCCACGTGAACTCCCCACGATGATGGTATTGTCACCATTAACCAACTGGGACTTATTAGAATTAAAAGTGCGAGGATGTGTCAGTGATGTTCTTAAACCATTTGAATTCACCGTGTGTTGCCCATTATGAGTAGTGTATGGAGTGGTAGGGGCATTTGCTGTGTTTTTGGACAGGCTATAACCACTAAGGGGAGGGCTGAGGGTGGGTACTGAAAGCTCATTTTCAACAGTTTGGGAATTCCTTGCATACAAAGCTTGAATATTTCGCGAATTTGAAGGCAACGATTGAGCAATGTCGACATCAATCACTTGGGCATTGGTGTTTCGAAGGTGAGAAATTGTGTTTTGAGCAGGTGCAGTGGGTGGAGGTGGAGGGCTGTCAGCATCAATGTTGATTACAGATGTCTGTTTGGCTATGTTCCTTGAAGGTGCTGTTCTCACATGTGCCGTGGCAGCATTTGTAAAAGGTCCATTCTTTGCAGTTGACTTTTTTGGGTCAGTTGAGAACAACTGATTCAAGTGACCTTCATAATCTGAAAATAATCAAGAAAGAATGAGTGACAGAGAAAATGGTTATCACAAAAATGTGAAATTTCTAAGTTTGGGCCTGAATTTATGAAAGTAAGAGCTGTTAATGACAGATTTGTTCAAACTTGGCCTGAATGAATCCCTGTATAATAGTTTTGAAGCTTTGTCAATAGATTTTGATACAAATACATAATTCTATAGGTGAGGATTTCATGAGACTGTTTGTGTTGTTATGTCACAATTACAAGTCCTGTAATTCATTAGAGCTGTAGAGGATACCACATGTACTGCAACTGCAGAAGAAAGACTGTGTCTTAATGGAACCCAACCCTCTGCAGGCTGGTTTGAATTTGAGTTTTCCGTCTCCTAGACCAGTTGCTATTCTTAAAAGATTGCTCAATACAGAGTAGAGCAAATATTATTTATTCAAAAATTATAACATAAATATGTTATAATATCACTACAAAAATAGCCATTTTGTTTCAACACTTCTGGTGTCTTCTCAAATGATGGTGTTGAATGTAGAAACATTCTACATTTAAATGGGTATTTTTGTAGTGATGTTATAAGATGTTTATGTTATAATTTTTGAATAAATAAAATTATATATGTGTGTGTGCACGCATACACATATAACCACACACACACACATATATATATATATACAGTGTAACCCGGATATAAGAGAGTTGTCTGGACCGGAGAAGAAGTCTCTTATATCCGGGTTTTGTCTATTTTGTTTAGGTAAGTATGGGCTCTAATTTGGGACCAGAGAAAATCTCTCTTATATCCGGGTTACACTGTATATATATATATATATATATATATATATATATATACACACATGCATGTGTGTGTGTGTGTGTGTATATATATATATATATACATACACACACACGTACACACATGTATATATATATAATAAAGGGGTAAGATTTATCTAATATGTATTTAAAAATCAAATTAGAAAGAAGAAAGATAATGTTAACAAATATAGTAATAATAATAAAATAATAAAGGAGTTACGATAATAATAAAAATAATAAGAAAAAATAAGAAATAAGAAAAATATAATCTGATAATTAAAAATAATAATAATAGAACACAATAATAATATCAGTAGTAAAAAATAAAAAATACAGATGATAAAAACATGAAAAAATTAACGATTCAAATTAAAATGGAAAATATATTAGTAGTCAAACTAAAAGGAAACAAAATATGAGACACGGGTAAATTAACAAGTGTACATCTATTAAGACACTACAAATTTACAAAACCTAAATTCAGATAAACATCCGTATATAAAAATATCTAGAAAACATCCAATATCATATAGTCGTTATCTAGAAAAAATCTTTTGATACATACTTACATACATATACCAACACATGGATTAAAAACACTAAAGCAAATTAATAAATATAGAGCACCACATCAACACAGACAATGATATGCAGGTAATGGTATGGGTCAATTCATTTAAATATCATATCCGACGCTAGGAATCCAAGTCCAAACTTTTATAGGGAACAATACGTTATAAAATCATATTTATGTTTTAAAGCGTTGTTTATGTCTACATTTGGATATAATTTCACTTCGAAGAAACAGCAACTCTTCTGGATTTTTGTCTTTTTTCCTGAAATGCACAGATCCCACCGATCACAGAAGTTTCCAGGAGTTCTAACTCTTGATATGAATCTCCATTCCAAATGTAGGGTTAGTCCCTTGTCCACCAGTTCCCAATAGTGTTTGGATAAGGTAGTTTGGTTTTTAGGGATTGATATTTGAAAGAGTGCCTGTAGTTGTATAGACGCTGCTTCCAATTTCTTGCAGATTTACCTATATATTTTTATATATACATATAATACATACATATATGAAGAAATATAGTTTTAAGGCATGCTATATTTATGGGATAAAGTGCTCAAAATCAGAGATAAAGCATATGTAAATATAAAAGTGAACACTGAAGTCAACACTTAGAGGTGACAAACTGTTTCATGCTAGACACAATCATCAGGCCTGAATTACATATCAAACTAATCACAACACAGTACATTGCATCAAGACATATGGTTTTGTTTTTAATTTGTTGTTAATAGTTCGGTCTCTCATGTGGTATGATGTCATAGAACTGCATCATGAACTTACAACTTGTGCCTGATATTCTGTTATCGTCACATAGCAATTTCTATGTCAGCATAACAGAATATCATCTTTGATGGTGAATATCTTTGTTTAAATGTCCGTATAACCACTGTGAAGATGGCTCATGTGAGCCAAAAGCTTAGATCAAGGATGAGCTTAATAAAAAAAAATCCAAATATTGGACTATTTTTGTCTTTATTTTCAGCTAAAATTAAAGCAAACATATGAAGTTTAGAATGGCTTATGATAAGACATAATAGACATTAATTGCTTATTATATTTAACAATATATGTTTGAATAATGATCTGCTACCCCAATTCACTAAATATATATACACACACACACACACACACACAGGTAATAATCCATTGCTATATAATCCAAGTGAATCCTATTAATACAATATAAAATATTAAATATTAAAACTGATTCACACAATGTTTTAATCAAACAGAGCAACATATTTTTATACAACAGGAATTATGATTACATTAGGTTAATAATCATTTTTACCTTGTAAATTGGAAAAAAATTTACAAAGATTTTTCAAACCAGTCAATGGATGATAAAATATTAAAATAAAACTGGCCAAACAGTCGCAAAAATTGTCTGACAGCCATGACTGAGTTTTCCTGCTTGTGTGGCATTGTGCAGAGTTTTGTTGCTAAAAATAGGATCTTCCAGCAGCCACCCTCTTTACTCAGGGCAGCACTACCATCTCAAGTCACTTGGTGTAGGCCTCTGTGTTGAGTCTCAGGCCCTGTGGGAAGATGGTTGGAGGCATAATGTCACCGTCACTCCAAACACCATGATGTTGACTGGATATTTAGTTATCACTCTCGGTACATCTTTTGGCAATACAGATTCCCCTGCAGTGTCCTTAGATTGACACCCAAACACTGAAATATTCGTATTGGTGGTTCTTGCACCAATGCCAAACAGTACAGCATGCCATTTCCAAATTTCTGACTGTGTGAATTGCATCATGGTGCTCTTTTTCTTACAGATGGTGCCCAACTGACCCTACTATACTGTGCAGTTGACAAAATCAAGAACAAAAAATGTGCATGTGCAAAATTAGAAATATAGAATTACGACAATTTACCCATCGCACTCTGTACATACATATTAGCTGGAAATTGTTAGGAATGTTGTCCAGTAATTATTAAAAAAATTTTACAATTTTTATTCATGATTTTCACTTAATTTTTATTTTAATTTTTTTTCTCTTGTCACTACTCTTTGTGCCTTAAATGACAACTTGAGAATGAGATAACAATCATTTTATTTGACAGTAGAATCAAATGATGCCTCAAAAAGTATATCAAATGTGATTATCTAAAAATACCCAATTGTCACAGACCTGCAAAGTCTAAAACATAAAAGCAAAAAATTGAGGATTTTTCCATAGAAATAAAAAAACAAAATTGGGTTCTAATTTGAAATCGTGAAAACATTTTTTGTGGTGCCGAAGCATTTTCGTGGCTCTGTTGAATGCGAGTTAATTTACTGAATGACTACAATAATTCAAGCTTACAGCCACTTCATTTTGAAACACCAATTTCCTTATGACCACCAAAGTTAAGCATCATCAAGCCTGGTCAGTACCTACATGGCTACTGTAAATTTGGATGTGTGGGTGGTGTAATGGATAATGACTCAGAACTGTTAATTGGAGAGCCAAGTTCCAATTCCCGATAGATTTGTTATATTCACTTATGAGCAAATAACCTTGTGAAAGGTATGAATCCACCTCTTCTTCCCCCAACTATGGGTTAATTAATAAAATTTGTATCACTAAACCATTATTATCACCAAAAAAAAATTTCTGGCTTTAAATAATCTGCAATGGGTTAATAAGCTGTAGAAAACATTCAATCACTCAACCAATAATCCAAGGGTAGATCAAGCTGGTTACTAACAGAAAATAATCACAAATCACCTCAACCTCCACTGACAGATTTACAAAATCAAGAGAACAATTGGAATTACTTCTTTACACCTCAATCACCATTTGAATAGGTAGGGAGAATTTTCATTCACCTGTCTTACCTGTTAGTACTTTTCATGATTGCAGTCACCCCGTATTGATAATTTGGCTGCAATAAAACTTAAACAGCACTGTCAAGGGCAGATTTTTGCTCAGGATGCTATGACATATAAAGCAGCGGAGAAAATGTTTCCTACTAGTGGATGCTCAAGTACAATGCCATATTTTATAAGAATTCAATTTAAGTAATAAATAAACCTTTATTAATTACTTCAACCAATCGACTATTAAGAATACCTCCTTACACTTCCAAAAGTTATGTGAGAGTCTGTGGCACTCTGGCATTAACATTTAGCACTCTGCACTATTTATAAATATTACTTCCCCTTTTACTGCATGTGAAATCCCCTCAAAATATAGTGTTTTATATATTAGTTCTATATATCTGAAATTATAGTAGCCTGGCTCTCAATTTCAGTCTAGATTGTTTTAGGTGTTGCCATAGAAGGATATGAGTACATGACCAAGAAATTCAAATTCCACCGGAATTGGCGAAAAAAGTCACCTACAGAGTGCTAAAGGTTAACTTCATTATCAAAGAAGAGTTTTTTTATAATCAGACAAGCCACAAGAAAAATTCAATTCATTTTGTGGCAATTCATGAGATGGTCTGAATTTAATGCCAATAAGGAACCTTTGTTCTAAGAAGAGTTGATCTGCAATGGCCCCAATATGTACTGAACTCACACCTAACAGATATCAAAGTAGATTTGTAGTGAAAGAGATAATCAGTTACCCCGAAAAAAAGTTTGTGTTTTGTGTGTGATCTGCCGAAGAAAAATTACCAAAAAGTAGTTAGCAAAAATCTACATCAATGACTAGAAGCTATGCTAATGTTCTTCCCTCCCCTGAATGGCGTGACCAATCAGAAAATTCTTTCGGTGAACAGAAGCCGTTGTTTTTCGCTTATAAAAGGAGAAGATTTTTTTGAGCTTGATGGAACGAATACGCGTTTTTGCTGGTGAGAAGTGAAGGTTGGACGTGTGACCCCATTTTGTCGTTTCTACGTTGTTTGTTGGACTGTTACGTTGGACTATCATTTGAACTGCGATTTGGCTACAAGTGTTGCGGTCGAGAAACAGAAGAAATCTATTGTAGTTGCTACTATCAGTTGATCAAAGGATTGACCTGGAAGGGGACCTTATAGCCATCACGTGGCTATGAGATCACAACATGATTATGATATGCACACATAGGACAACTGAATGACAGGAAGATATATAAGCACACCACCTGAGAGGGAAAAGACAGAGAGTCTGTCCCATCCCCACAAGAAGAAAATCCATGTTTGAAGAAAGCCTCGAAGCCACATGCTTTCAAGCTAATATTAATTGACAAATTCCAGAAGTGAACAATGCATGAAAAATGTATTCTTATTAGATTTACAAAGAAGGGACGGTGGAGTAATGAATAGCAGATTAAGGAATAGGAGAGCAGAGTTTGAATTCCAGTCAGATCCATTACATTTCAATTACATTGCGAAAGGTATGAATCCTCTCTTCTTCCCTTAGCTATGGGTAAATAGCAGGACAAACTAGGTTCTATAGCCTTGGGTAGCAACTGGTTGAAACCCTGAATTCAAAACTGTGTGTAACTCTGGCATAGCACATACTATACAGCTAAAAATTCAAAGTTGGATCCCCTCAGGCAGTTCATTGCTGATTTCAGTCTGGTTCTGGCAGCTCCTGCAACAATGCTGGTGCCAAACTGTAATGGCCTTGCGGTTCTTTTGGCTCTATCAACGACATGGAGAGGGGAGACATGCTGCGCAGGCAACATCTTGTCCTCCATACCATCCTGCTCAGGCTTTTTTTTTAATTAGTTTTACAATGATAACATTTTACAGTCAGGGATTTAAACTTTGTCTTGTTACCCTCAAAATTTGTAACATGTATTTCTAAGACATTAAAGCAAGTAACTTTGCAAGCCAAGAATAAAGAAATAAATGTGAACAAGATTGGATGTATTTACTTACCAAGGATCATGTAGCCATGGACTTTGTATTCAGCAACTTTTAAATCTAGCCACATAACAAACTGTGACAGGGTCCAAGGCTGCACTTTTTGGACCATCAAAGCAAAGTCTTCCTTGACTGTGTGCAAGTCAAGTGTCATGATTTTCAATTGTCCCCAAAAAATAATTCCCCTGAAAAAGCAAACAAGATGAACACAAATGAACAAACCCAAAATTCAAAAATCTCTCGTCACACAAAGTTATATTAAAACCTTGTCATTTATTCTGCATAAAATAAATGCTTTAAGTTTATTTGGCATGAAGAAAATATACTTTAAAACTTTACTAAAATTTTCATTATCAGATTTCCAAGATTATAAAAGAATGTTCCTTTCTAGCCTCATGGATTTATGTCTGCTGACATTTGTGATTGACAACAGTGACTGAAATCTATAGATTTTTAAGCACACACATCGAAATTAGAAATTTAAAATTGGCAGTGCCACCTTGGCTGAGAAATGAACTTTGAACTCGCATATGAACAGAAAGGGATACTTATCACCAGGGCTGGATTATGACAATGCTTCATCTCATGATAAAATGATCTTTTTTAACTGTTGTTCACTTAATACAAAGAGCCACTCAAGGTAGAGGGTTACCGAAGGAGGTGGTTGTATTTAAATAATGGTTGACCTCAGAGGTTGGATTGAAGTGACTTGGGCAAGCATCCTCTTGGTAGTTTCTTCCACAAAGTAGTTATTGGGGGAAAACTGGCTTACAACCACATCATTTTGAAACACCAGTTCCTGTATGATCAAAGTTAAGCAATGTCAATCCTGGTCAGTACCTAGATGGGTGACCGTCTTGGAATGCTCGGTGTTGTAAACCTGGATGTGCAGGGGGTGTAAATGGATAAAAGCTCAGTAATTTTTAATCGGAGAGAAAAGCTGTAATTCCCTTTGTGTTCATTATATTCACTTAGGTGCAAATAGCCTTGAGAAAGATATGAATCCACCTTTTCTCTCCCCAGCTATGGGTTAATTAGTAAGACTTGTATCAGTAAACCATTATCTCAAAAAAAAAATTCTTACAATCTAAAAATATTTTCTGGCTTTAAATAACCTGCAAAGACTTGATAAGCCATAAAAAACAAATCAAGACAAATTCAGAAAACACTGTCAGAATGGAACTTCCTTTTTACAAATGGAATATGAAGGGAACAGGTGTGATTCAAATGTGTAGATGTGATCTGAGATGTTGCAATAAGAAGCAAGTGAAACTAAGATGAGAGAAATACTAGTCAAAAATTAATAATCGTACAAAAATGTTTTGTTTTCCTGTTACGGACAACACTATTAACTCTGACCTTCTTCTACCAAACAATACTTACACTTTATTATTTTGCATTTAAAAGAGAAAAAACCCACAGAGCTGTCAGCAGTCAAAGTTTGTTCATTTTCAGTTAAGAATTACGAGTTGAATTTTTATACATTTCTTTGGAAATCTTATTAGTCATGAGCATTAGGGAAATGAATGTAACATAAAATTGTTACAAACTCATAACTGAAATGTTGAGAAAGATGTGTAACCACGTTCTCAAATGTTCAGATGAGTGCTTCATTCTTCAGTTCCACCAGTTCAGATCTTTACAGCTAGAAGATGCCATGCTACTCCCATAGTTTCAAATCATCCTTTTTTCCATCTATTTCAAATGTATGTTCCACTCAAGCAGCTGTCACACTGAACACTACAGTCTTGACCTGTTCAAGTGTCAATTGTTATCCAGCCTTCTGAACTTTCACTTCCTACTTTATTCATATCACACACCTCAATCCTGAAAAGCATTTTAACAGTATCCCACTACTTCAAGTGGCTCTCAAACTTTGTATAGGGTGAAATTTTATATATATATATATATATATATATATATATAGTGTATTTAAGCAGCAATCCTTCTTTAATGCAAGTTTCATTAAATATGACAGACAAGGTGCTTTGATTAAGTTTTTTTATATAATTTTTCATGTGATCTTATAATTTTTTTTCAGTAGATAAATTATATTAAAACTGTCCAAATGTTGTTTTTTACCAAGTGCTTTCAGTTATACATTTAGCCATTTTCAAGGTTGAAATATATTAACTGTTAACTAGAAATAGATTGTTGGATGTATTTATATAAATGTTTAATTTTCAAAACATGGTCAACATATTGTGTGCATGTTCATAGGTGATATTATTGAGTGTTGTTTTTTTTGTTTTTATTCTTAAGGCTTCCATTATTTTTAGCTTCTTTTACCTGTAGACGATGCTATTATATTTGTATTATAATGGAAGAACTTCAAAGTCAAGCAAGGTTATATCTACCTTTAAAGCACATTCACTTATACAGATTTTGATCAAAAGCCGTATCTGCTCAGTTTCATAACCAAAACGTAAACAGAAAGAATGGATTTTATTTTTTTAAATCCAGCATATTTTTTATAACTTCAATTAAAATATCACTAACAATAATGTTTGAAGCGAAAAAAATAGGTGGGATTTAAAAAATAAAATTCATTAATTCTTTAGAAATTGTTGTTTATATATTTGGATATGAAACTGGGCACATGTGGCTTTTGAGAAGAATCTGAATGAGTGAACGTGTGGTAAGTAGAATTTTGCTTGATTGTAAAGCTCTCTGTAGCTGAATAGCGAGAGCATGCCAGATCAGATAGTAGTTTCTCCTGCCAGGGGGAGGCACATTAACTTTCCTAAAGTACACAGACCAGTAGATGAACTAAACATTGTTTTAAAAAAAAAAAAAAACATCTACTCAAATATGAGTATCCACTGAAAATGTTTGTTTGAATAAAAATATTTCATCTAAAAAATAAATCAGTTCTATTCTTTTCGTTTTTCATTCAAAATACTCAAATTTTAGGAATACATTTTCACAGCATTGCCCACGTGACGACGATGTGATCATATTTAAACGGAACACTGATCTTATAAAAGATTTCAGTTATCTGTTTGGATTGGTCTTGCTTTTATGTCCATCGTCTTTTTCATGTTGAATTGAATATTGCCTATGTTAATTATGTTTTATGAATATGTCCTGAAGATGGTCTATTAGACCGAAAAAACGTCCGACGTTGACATTATATTAACATTAAAACAGCATAATTGCATATTAGGGTTTTTGTTTGTTTTTTCCATACATTTTTCTTCATACTGTCGGATCTATATCCATATATTTGCTTACATATATATATATATAAAAACAGATTGTTGTTGCCACACCAGGATAAAATGATCTTTAGAAAAGGGATCATATTTTATTAATAAAACAGTATACAAACGTATCACAGCAATTAAAATTTTAGGTACCTTTCAGCCAATACTTCTTCAGAATAAATATAATCATCAGCAAAATAAAATTAATTTATATTTGTAATTTATATTATTTTTATTAGTAATTTATATTTTTTGTCTTAACATCAGTCATTGATAATTTTTCTTGTCATCTACTTGGTTTTATTTTGCCGATGATCATATTTATTATTTATTTTTGCCGACAATTATATTTATTCTGAAAAAGTGTTGGCCAAAAGGTAATCACTCTGATACTTTTGTATCTTTTTTTTATTAATAAAATATGATTCCTTTTCTAAAGATCATATATATATATATATATATATATATTAGTTTTAAGGTGTGCTATATTTATAGGATAAAGTGATCAATATCAGAGATAGAGCGTATGTAAATATAAATATAAAAATGAACATTGACGTCAACACTCAGAGGTGACAGGCTGTTTCATGCTGGATACAATCGTCAGGCCGCCTGATGATTGCATCCAGCATCAGCATGAAACAGCCTGTTGCCTCTAAGTGTTGACTTCAATGTTCACTTTTATATATATATATATATATATATATATATATATATATATATATATACACACACACACACACATCTTGTTTTAAAAATATATTTGATTCAACCAAAATTGCTAAAATGATTAAAACAGATAAAATGCAATTTTTGACTTTTTTGATGAAGTATTGTCAATTACTTCTTTTTTGATTAATATTTTTTTAATCTTAATTTCAGTTTTTATCACAATTCCCAGATTGTCATTGAATGACAGAGTACAATTTTGAGTTCTCATTAGAAACCAACTCTTTATTTCTCAACTGGGATGCTGACTAAACAACTGTAGAATGATCATCTCATAAATAAAAGAAGAAATCTGAGGCAAAATTAGGTTGGTTAATTGTTGTTACTTTTTTTAACTGCCACTTAATAAGACAATTATTGTTCCAAAATCATTACTTTTATGCACTGGGGCAAAAGAAAAATAAAAGAAAGCATTTGTCCTATGTTTGGTTTGGTTTGTTTAACAACATATCAACTCCTTATAGGTCATTTAATGCCGAAATTTCATGTCCTTAGAAGCTTTGGTAATTTTTTTTTTACTGTTAAAACCTATTACTGGAAATGTTTACTATGAAAATGTATTTTAATACTTTTATAGTGTTTTGACCCCAGTGTGGGGGGTTCACTATTTGCCCATAGCTGGGACCCTAATAGGTGTTATCACCCTTTGTCAAGGTGGACCTGGAAACAACTGCAATTAAGAGCTCCTCCAAATCTCTGGATCAGAGGTCATGCTGCTAGATGTAGTTTATCATCATACCCAGGATGTCCTATGCATGGTATTCAAGTTATTTAGAAATTGATATTTGACAATGTTTTTTAACAGTTCCCTTGATAGAAATGTGGTACATTAAATGGCGAAATAGACGATACATTTGAAAAAAGATTTTGAAAGCTTAGTATGGAGAATGCTGTGAACAAAGAATAACAGACAAACCACATTAGAATAGATTTATCACTTCATTACTATCTAACTAATGTCCAGTTCAATCCATAACAAAGTTCTTCCTTCTCCCAGTATTAGTTCTGTAATTTAGCATTTTAAATTCCAGTCTGACACTGACTATATGTGTAAAACAGATCAGCAGTTGGAATTAAAATAAATCAACATGTATCAGCCAATATTCAGAAAGGAAATTGGGATAATTTACATTGGTTCAGCAAGAGATAAGCATTTGCTAAATAACTATCAGTGTGTTTGGTTTATAGCTATGATGTTCTTTGTACTGAGAAATACTCACTTGGATTTCCATCTAAGGGTCTTAGTGGCTACATATATTAAGTCTTTCCAGCCCTCCTTCATTAAGTAGGAGTGACTTTTAAACCTGAATGCTTGATTAGTTTTTTTATGGCTTATCAACCTTTTGCAGGCTATTTAAAGCCAGAAAATAATTTTTAGACTCTAAGAATTTTTTTTTGGGGGGGGAGATAATGATGTACTGATGCAAGTCCTACTAATTAACCCATAGCTGGGGGAAGAAGAGGTGAATTCATACATTTTCCAAAGGTATTTGCACATAAGTGAATATAACAAACCCGACTGAAATTGGAATTCTGCTTTCCAGTTTCCAATTCTGAGCCATTATCCATTACACGACCCGCACATCAATGCATACAGCAACCTGGTATCTCTAAGCAGTCAACTATCTAGGCACTGACCAGGCTCAACGTTGCTTAACCACTGTTTCAAGCACTTTAATATATATATATATATATATATATATATATGAAGAAATTTTGAAAAAACAAACAAAAATCAAAAAAAAATTTAATTTATTAAACCGAAACGTCAGACGTCGACAATTCTTTCATTTTAACTACATTTAAGGATTTTTGTTTGTTTTTTCAAAATTTCTTCATTCTGTCGGATTTATATCCATTTACACTTGCTTAACATTCTGATTTGGTGTTTTGCTATTTGCTGGGACATTTTTTTTTTAATTCCTCAATTTCAGCTCTGATAAAAGCAGAATGAAATGATTTTTTCCTCTCTATTAAAAATAGGTTTTTATTATACTTTCCTGTTATTTCAGTTTCGTTTTTATTGCAATTATTTTTTAATTACATCCTTTATTTTTATTATTAAGTTTTACAATACTCTTCCTTCCTTCATTATTTTTTTCAATGTTTAGTCCGCTTTTATTTGCAAATTAGCAATGCCATGTGAAACTGCAACTCAACAACTTGGATGAAAGTTAGTTAAGTACAACTGATTTTGAAACCTGTAAGTTTAAACTTTAAAAACATGACTTTTTTTTATTTTATTTATTCTCTAAACTTTAAGGAGAATAAATAAAAAGCCATAATTTCGTTTAGAAAATAGTTATTGATGTTTGTAACATGTATTAGATAAGCACTAATTAAATAGGAAACAAATGAAATTTATTTATCACTTTAAAGAAACCAAAAGATTTGCAAAGTATAAATTTACATTTTTACAAAATTAAAAAAAATAAAATAAAAACGCAAATGCTAAAATTTTTGGATGAAAAAGTTATGCTACCTTTTTTGTGTCTTGTTTTAAGGCTTAAAATTCCTCGCTTAACGTAATTCACGCTGAAAACTAATAACAAAAATTTCAATTCAATTCACATTTTTCTCATAAAAAAATTCGTATTTTAAATTCAATCTTATATACCTCACAATATTTTCATTTGGGTGACTTCCGCTGTAGCGTCCAAAACATTTTTCACATACCAAATTTTGAATTACCTCCCTTAGATTGAGTAACTTAGCCTCATATTCGAAGTCCACACTGCTTTTCATAAAGAAATAAAAACTGAAATATAATTCAACTTCTATAAAACTTGGAACTTGTAAACTTCATAGTGTTTCATATTTTAAGCATGCATTCCTCTTAAGATTGTATTTTTTTGTCTGTTTTTTTAAATACCACGTTGGAAAAATAAACGCGGCATGTCCAGATTTTAGAAAAACAGAAGGAAAAAAATAACATGATCACTTTTTTTTTAATGGAATTATGTAGTTAGTTATCAGAGATTGAACAAATGAGATTGCATTTCGGGAGCTTAATTTTTTATTTAAGATTTTTTTATCCGAAAAGATATTTTAATTATTCTAGTGGTTACAAAATCTTATTGGTCAGAATAGTGTGCTCATCAGAATATGAGGCTAGGTAAACTGAGCGATATTTCAGTCGTTGGCAAGAAAAGAAAAAAAAACGTTTCGAACGCTAAAATGAAACATATTCTTCTTCATTAACACTACTTTGTTAAACTCGATTAAATAAAACGAAAAAATTAATTAAATTAAAAAAAAAACAAGGATTTAAGTTGGAACTGAATTGCGAGCGATCAAAATGTGGTATTCATCTATTCTACTGTTGCAAGTCTGCGACAAGAAGAGTAATACAAAATCACACCTTTTTCGTGGATATTTCAATAGTTAATTCTGTAAAAGAAGTTGAAAAATTTCAGGAAAAAAAAGAACCATCAATAGGGTAATATCGTAAGTATTGATCAGTTGCAGAAAATCTATTTATCTTTTTTCGATTTTTGTTCTGTAGCTATTGTTTAAAAATGGGCCTGTCTTTCTTTATTCAGCAATTTAAAAGTTAACAATGTACAAAATCCTTCTTCTTAACGTACGTTTGAAAAGGTTTTCTAAAAGAAAGAAAAATCGTCGCAGTCACGAAATTCCATTTATCACTCGAAAATATTCATAACTTTCGTAAAAATTTACAAGTATTTTTTATTTGTTTTACAAATCAATTAACAAAATTATCCCCACTAAAAACTAGAAATCATTGATTAGTTTTTAAAAATTAAATAAATAAAAAAAATCAACATGATAATAAAGCAGACGACATAAGGGCAAAATATACCTGAGGAGATAGAAAAGAAATTACTGAATCCTTATTTAAAAGAGTGAAATTAACGTAAACATCATCACAGCTGGTTGTGTTGATTCGACAACCATATTTATTTCTTACTTCCGGTTGAATAGTCCCGTACCGGAAGTTGACTTGAAAATTTCTGATACGGATTTTATTTATTTATTTGTTTGTCGTTTGTAAGCTAATTTATTTTTCAAGAACCCTAAATTCGGATTAATTTTTATCCAATTAAACTATCACAGAATTCTTGATTTCAATATTATTTTTTAAATTATTATCTTAAATTAATTTTTTTTTTTACACTTGACTTGTAGAATCTGGTCGCTTTCACTTCAAATGACAGTAAAGAAAGAGTAAAAACCTCTTCACTATAAAACTGTGTCTGTATATTTGTTTTGGTTTTAACAATGCTATTATTCCTCACAATTTATAAACTTTGCAACTGTCTTTAGAACCGTTCTAAATGATTTAGCAGTTATCAATTTCATTGTTCAAAATTTTTGTTGTCTGAAAAGTTTTTATCCACTTTTGATTTCCCTCTGCAACCTTTGGATTAGTTATGTTCCCTACTAGAGGAATATTTATTTTGTAATAATAATTAAGTCAAGTCTCCTGGGCTGTATTTAGTGAGTTATATGAATTTCAAAATTGGGTTTCTACTGTTTGTCTGCAAAGTCAGACACAAGTTGTTGCATAGTTCCCACTGGGTCCCTTTTTCTACCCAATCATGTTTCTTTTATTTTTATCCTTCTCTGATAATTTACAATTTCATTTCTGATTCTGTACATATGACATTTTCTATTTATCATGTAGGGAGGCAAAGAGCGATAAATTGAATTCATGAGGGCTATGTAATTCTTGTTGCGTGAAGTCAGTTCATTGAGTGACAAATGCCAGTTGTTTTTTAGTGTGCCTAGAAGCAAGACATGCAAGTTGCTATTTAACATACATAGAAGCAAGATATGTTTGCCCATGCCAGTGTCTGCTCATGTAGACAGCAGGGAAGTAAGACATGACTGCCTACCACAGTTAAGAAAGCAGAGGAAAACACATGATCTTGCAGAATCTCCCACAACACAACCAGCCTTACCTCTTTGTAGGAAATACACTCTTCCTATCTAGTAAGCCAAATTCTACCTTCAGACAATATAACAAGTATTCATTGGTCAATCACCTCCAATCTGGCTTGCTGATCGGTCAGTTCCGACCAATCAAACCACCTGCACGCGACCAAGCTGTTTTCCCGCTCTTATGCTGGGAGCCACTCAGTGATTATATAAACAGAAAACGTGTGAACCTTCTGAGAAGTAATTACCAAGTTTCAAGATGTAACATTCACCGACTCCTGTCTTAGTCATTGCTGACCAGACGTTAAAGACAATTACCAACTTCATACAGTCAGTAACACGCATTCACAGAGAACCTTCCAAAATACTCCACGTCACTATTTAATCACAATTTTGCGGCTTAAAAAAGATACATCACTGACTCATACTCGATCAAGCATTAATCAACTCTGTGTACATCATTTATCAACTTTGTTTATCTAAAGTGAATCAAATTCACTACTTATTAAGTAAACTCTCTGAATGAACGACCTTAGAAAAATATTACAGTTAAAGGTAGATCACTCTTAAAAACTCTTTCTATAAGACACTTAATATCAACAATCGCCAAATATCGACACAAACAAAAAATACTCCAAATGAACGAACAATTACTTAAGAGAGACATTCTGAAATCTGAAGAAACCAAGATACACATTTCACCTACACAACATACATCAATTATCCTGTCTGTATATTGTTTGATTTGTATATAAATGTTGTATTGATTTCTAATTGAATATGTCTCATTTTTCAATTGCATTTTAAATTTCGTTTATCTATTTGATGGGGATGCAGAAAGTCACTCAAATTCCTTCTGATTCTTTCTAACATCATTAACAAATTCTGCACGTCCCCAACAATATCACCAAGTACAAAAAGGACACCACCAACCTGCCCATTTTCCCTTCAGGAAATATTACAAATAAGGCCCTCTCACTTTTCACCCCTTTCACAATGCTCGTTGCATTAATATGTTATAATTTCTCTGTGTAAAACAAATTAGTGACAAGTATGTATATATTGATAACAAGAACATCATTTGAGAATAATGCATGTTTATCATTCTTTTCTTTCATTCTTCTGTCTCTGAATTAAGGTGTTACTCTATCATGGATATAATAATGCCTGTAATGGAGAAATGGAGATGGGAAATATTTTCTCTTTCCAAGCACCCTCATTATTCATCTGAGTTTTTGAGATGGTATGCTTTTATTCTTATGCATTGAGAAAGAACCAAATCTGTAAGAATCTTTCTTTAATAATTTGGTATTTTATCACTACAATCTTAACCTGTTCAAATCTAGAGTTAACCATTTTCTTCCCAATATATACATATAAATTCTACCTCTTATTCTGTAACCCTCTACCTTGAGTGACTCTCAGGCGTTGTACAGAGTGAACCACACTATATAAAAAAAGTGTCATTGTTTTGCCGTTCACATATTTTGGCATTCATATATTTCATTCAAATATATTGCGGGCTGCTCAATGAGAATTTATTAAGAAAAAAATGTGCTTGAAAAATTAAAATAAAAATGTCATACAAAAAGTGTTTATTCTTACCAATGAAATATAAGAATTTGTTTTAAAAATTACTTGAAAAATTAAAATAAAAATTTTATACAAAAAGTCTTTATTCTTACCAATGAAATATAAGAATTTATTTTAAAAATTACTTGAAAAATTAAAATAAAAATATTTAATTTGAAAGATCTTTTTTAAATGGAACATTTAAAAGCTCTCCTAGTTATATATTCTGATAAAATCAGGTCACCGACACTTCAAAGTGCCAAATATTTTTGCCAAAAACTAATGTTGAAAACTGTTTATATTTACTATTGTTACAGAATGCAAAGGCCAGGGCCAAAATGGTCAGCGATTGACCTGAGTGCTTTGTGGACATGGTATTCTGACAGTGATGGATTACCTTTGTCTGGATTTTGGACATTAGTCCAAAATGGCACAAATTAAACAGAGGGCCACAATTTGATGAAAACCAAGAATTAATTCTTGGTTTTCATTACACTGTTTCCTATTTTGGGGGTAAAATCTGCAAGAGGAGGATCAAAAGCAAAGTTGACAGACCCTCTTAAAAACTCAAATTTTGTAAAACTCAACCTGATTGGTAGAGAAATCCTTTTCATGCCTATGAAAGTAATTTCAGAGAAAATTGTACACAAGCTTTTAGAGCCTATTTTTTCCCTTAAATTTCAACTCATGAAAGTTATCAACAGCAGTGTAAGGATATCAGCGAGACAGAATGATTTTGAGTGACAAGAAAGCGGTCTACCATCTTAAGGAATGGTTTTGTCAAATGATAGGTTGTCAACATTATAACTTATGCTCACTTCACAAAGGTGCCTACTCACAAAAATTCATGCCAACAACCACAATTTTTCATTTTTCACTTTCCCTCCACTGTTCAATATTGTTGATAGTATGTCCTTCAGATAGCTTCAGAAGTACACTTTCAACAAAAGCAACAGAACATACTTCTGTTTCTCAGAAGATATTCCTGGAAAACAAAAATGTTTCAACAAATCTTTTTTGCTGACAAATCCATGTAGAGAAGACAATTTTTTTATATAGATTCTTGATAAAATCCATAGAAAAATCTGCAATGTTATCAGTCTTGACTTCACATCTTAGCTTCAGTCACTTTCCCACTGCCATAATGTAGTTTCCCTGTGCCTTTTCTATATATATTTTCATTGTAATTGTTCTGATTAGCTTGACATTACAGTTTTAAGCACAGTACTAGATTGGCAGTTAGGTCTCATCATTTTACAGTTAGATTGATCTAACCATAAGTTCTATGCTAAAGGTTTCCTTTCTCATACTTTTCAATTGTGGCATTCTCCTTTGGCCTCTTGCTTTTCAGGAAAGTTTAGAGTTTCAAAAATTATGAAACTAAGGTAAGTTATATAGATTTGTAGTGGAAACTTACCTTGGCAACCCAAAAGGGCCAGAGTCACCTGTATGTTTTGGAAGGTGACTTGGGCAGCACATTGTGTTAACAGAAGTAGTGGTGTTGCTTGTAGCCATTTTTATTGGCTGGTTCTGGGTGCTCATTGGCTGAGCAATGGCTGGGTCAGGTGCATAAAAGCACAGTATGCTCATTCAAAGGGTAGACTCATTTTTTGGCGAGAGGAGTTGCTTACCTGAGAATGAGGAATGGTGATAGTCGGCATTTGTGGAATTGATTTTCTTACTGAACTGTGTACCACTGTTTTGCCCATTGGACTTTTTTATATATATATATATATATATATATATATATATATATATATATATATATATATATATTTGTGTTTGTTTCAACCATTTCTCATATAACTTTGTCATACATTTTCCCCCCAGTATTGTACATGCTAATACCCTTGAGAAAGGTATGAATCCTCTTCTTCTTCCCCCAGCTATGGGTAAATAGCTGGAAAGACTGGGTTCTAAAGCTTTGGATGGCAACTAGTCTAGAGAAGGACAAATTGCATTTGCCTAGATAAAGTCTATCAGAAGACGAAATATGTTTGCAATGAAAAGTTTTCTTCCTAGGACTTCATCAGTCTGAAGAAGTCCTAAAGGACGAAACATCTCACAAGAAAACTTTTTCCACTTTTGTAGTAGAGACTTACCTTGGCAACCCAAAAAGGGCCAGAGTCATGTGTATGTTTTGCAATGGAGTGTGGAGACAGTGAATTGGCGAGCTTTGGACTGAAGGTGAATTGGGCAGCACTTTGTGTGGACAGGAGTGGTGGTGTTGCTTGTAACCATTTTTATTGGCTGGTTCTGGGTACTCATTGGCTGAGCAATGGCTGAGCCAGGTGCATTTAAAAGCATGGTATGCTCATTTAAAAGGGAGACTCATTATTGGCAAGAGAAATTGCTTACCTGAGATTGAGGAATGGTGATAGTCAGCATTTGTGGAATTGATTTGCCTATTGAACTGTGTACCACTGTTTTGCCCATTGGACTTGTATATAGTTATTTTTGTGTGTGTGTGTTTGCTTTCGACCAATTCTCACACAGCATTTAAGGAAGGAATGTAACAGAGTTACTGGAGTGGATTTGACCAGTAAGTGAATTTATACTTGATGCTAGTCAGAATGGAAATTAACTTTGACAAGTTGATATGAAAAGTCTGGATAGTCAAACAAGGTAATTTTAATTTTACTAGCATATCTTTACTTTTCTAATAGGTAATTTCTGTGAATAGTAAATAAACTTTTCAACATTATATGTTTTTCATTATTAGTTCCAATATACAGGGTTCCCATTAAAAAAAGTGGCAAATTTATTATCACTGTTTTATCTTTCAGGAATAACTGACCTTGAATAACTTTGAATAAATTTCTTGAATATTCATGACCCTGAATAAAACTACTGTCACCTGGTTACCATGCTTACAACTTTGTGTTGAACATTCAGGCAAACATTTCGAACATCTATGATGATTGTTCATTTTACGCCTGACTCATGATAGCTAAATAAATTTCTTTCTGAATTTACCATTTTTTATTGGGCACCCTATAGTTGGAATGACTGCAAAAACAGCCCCTTCCCAAATTTATAGACAAACCATATAAATGTATGCTGGGATTTCTTCCTAGCCAATAAGATAGGCTGCTTCTTTGTTCTCATCCAAGTTTTGTTTTTATTCTCTTGAAGGCAGAATTCTGCAATCATTTGTCTGTATCCTTTTCAGGTGTTAACAACATTACTTTGTGAACTTTTTGCCTTATTACTGTTGCTTTGCCTTCTTTTGTTTTGCGTATATTACTTGCTTAATATTATTTTTGCGCTGTTCTTTTCTTTCATTTGGTATTGTTTATGGCAAACTTTGTGCCAGTTCTGTTTCTTGAGCATTTCTGCCAATTACATTTAATCATGGCCAGTTATTTTGAAAAAGTCTTAATTTGAAAAAGTCTTCAAATTTTACATTTAATTTACCAAGATTTGCCATGGAAATCATGATATGTTTGCAACATTGCATCTTTGGGAAAGAGGCTGTAGTGTGGAAAATGAATACAAAACTGCATAAATAATTTTGAACCCTATTTTGAACCCTATCAAGGCTAGATGATGAGGTTTGTGCAGTTCCAACCCAGACAGCAATACTCCATTTTTTTTTGTCTAACCTGGCTCTTGGCAGCATGGTTAGAAGGAGTCAGGTACTTCTGGAGTGGTACAAGGAGCTGACCATTTTTCTAGCATCTTTAGTGATGGATTGTATAGATGAGTTCCACTTGAAGTCTGTTGTGTTTTAATAAATGTTCAAAACATGGAGCCTCCACTAATTCTGTTTTCCTTTTTCAATTATTTTTTTTATAATTACATCTCTTCCCCTTTTTCTATTATGAATTTTCTGTAGAGTTACTTTTTTTTTCTTTTTAGCTTAAAATCTTTGGATTTTTTAACTCAGTGTGTTATGGTGTAATACATATTGTCTTGGTATGAGAAATCAGAGAACTGAGTTTGAATTCCAGTCAGGTTCATTACATTCACTTATATGCAAATACCCTTGGGGAAGGTATGTATCCATCTCTTTTCCCCACCCCGCCATCTATGGGTTGAATAGCAAGACAGACTGGGTTCTATATTCTTGGATGACAACCAGTGTAATGCAGAAAGAAATGGCAACCTACTGTGGGAAAATCTTCTGCCTAGTCAGTTATGAATCAAAAGAGACATTATCACTCAAACGTGTATCACATATGGCATTTAACTGGGTGAGTCCTTTTATTAGTTTTGTTGTAATTAGTCTCACTTTATTCTTCTGTGTGTAGTCTACTAGTTATTTTTTAGTCAATGCATTCTTCGAGGTTGAGGATTCTGCTTACTTCCATTTTTCATTCCCTATAAAATTGAATCGTGTGATGTATAGGTGGTCGCTATTTCATCCAAAATGTTTTCAATAAAAGAATATGGACCAAAAGTAAATACACAATGGGTTTGAAATGAAATAATAAAAATGTGACTGTAGATAAGGTACAAGTTTCATTAACAACAGAGTCTGTATACAAAAGTCTACATTTCTGAACAAAGGAATGTGTGATGGTGTCGTAATATCTTATGCAGCATTGGTCATTATGCTGTATGTCTATGGTTCTTTGTGTTATATTCTGCTTCAAATTAAATGTCTTTCAGATTCACTCCATAAAACATTGAAAATAAATGTTAAACCTGATTTCAGTTCTTTTATTTTAATCTAAATATAACCCCTCATATCCGGACTTTGTAAGCAATTCCTCATAAGAAGGCTTTCTTAGTCCGATTGTCAAGGATTCTACTGAGGTTTAATTAATTCCTTTGATTTGGAAGTCAACTATATTAAATATGCAATTAAAATGATGTTAGGGTTTTCTCCTTAATGAAATTAATGCCTGTAAAATTAACAAAATTTTCTAAATGCCAGTCTAAGTAATTTAATACCTAACACTTATTGGAATCTACAGTATTCACTTCCTGAATTCACCCAAGCAAAAGAGGTTTCTTTTTCTTCTTTTTTATCCTCACCGCTGCACATATAAATAAACTTTTTAATAACACTACATTTTCTCTTACTGTGGAAGTCAATAGTTAACAGTATTACTGACATTGCCTTAATGTCATGAAAGATATTCAAGTATTAGAATCTTGCGACACAGTGATAGTTTGAAAGAATCAACACCTAAAAATATACCCTAACTTCAAACTTCTGTCTAGATATGATCTGAAATAATTACCATGTTGAAGACTGGTGACTCTCCATTTGATTTGGTATAAGAAAATCTGTCTATATTTCTGTGATGAGGTATTATGTACACTATTTACATTATTCAGACTATTGTCCTCGTCTTTGTCGTCATATTTATTACAACATTTTGGCCATTGTATGCTCCGGCCTTCTTCAGGTGGTTGGAATGTTGAACTGAACCTTTTATTTTGCTCACTGGGGTAGACTGTTCTAGTTCCATGTGCCATGTTTAATGGATGTCAGTTGTCAGTTATCCCCTGTTAATTCCCCTCTCCTAGAGTCTGAGTTCAATACCCAGTTAAGGCTGTGGAGATCTTGGAGAGGGGAATTAACAGGAGATAACTGACATCCATTAAATATGGCACGTGGAACTAGAACAGTCTACCCCAGTGAGCAAAATAAAGGGTTCAGTTCAACATTCCAACCACCTGAAGAAGGCCAGGGCATACAACGGCCGGAACATACAATGGCCAAAATGTAATAAATATAGCGACAAAGATGAGGACAATAGTCCGAATAATGTAAATAGTGTATAAGAAAATCTATTTAGTATTTCTAATTCTGATTGTTTAATTTGGATTTGAAATAATTTTCCAGTGTTATTAATACTAAAAATCTCTCCATCTCACTCAGTTATAGAAATCATACAATCAATTATTATCATTGACTTATGAACTTATTGTTTATATTAACAAATCCTGAAAAAAAAAATAACAAAAACAATCACATCAGAAATGTTAGACTTCATTTTGCATAGAGAACTCTGACCATAAAATTGTCTTTTTGTTTCTTTTTGTTTTGATATTTATAGATATTATTGCGGGCTTCAACACTTTTGTTGAGATTTTTATGCTCCTGGTACATTTGACCTACAAACAATTTCTGGCGGACTCATGTAAATCAGAAAAAAATAAGACATAGAATTTGAACAAAGAAATTTTAACAAATATATTGACAGGACATTTTACAAAAGGAAAAATGAGAAGTGAAATTGAATGTGAAGAATTCAGAGCAATCTTCAGTGTCTGTAGTTGAGGTACTTACATTTTTGCGGTAGCAAAAAGAATAGGTCTTTTTCCTATGAAAAAGTCACCAAGAAGGAGATGGATTCTTTCAAATCTCACACCACCTGTAATTATTGTCAGGGGGTGGTAATTCAAAATCTCACTACCTGTGATTATCATCAGGGGGCCATAATCCAACAATATCTTTATTACTATTTGCAAAAAATAGTGATTTTGTTTTCAGCTTCTTCTTAAGTTGATCCAAGCATAAATATTAAAAGTTTATGGCCATATCACATTGAAACACTGGTCTCTGTATGATCACCAAAGTTAAGCAACATCAAACTTGGTTAGTACCTAGATGGGTGATCACTTGGGAATACCAGGTACTGTAAGCTTTGATGTGTAGGTGGTGTAATGGATAATGACTTGGAATTCTTAATAGGAGAGTTGAGTTCCAATTTCAGTTGGTTTGTTATATTCACTTATGTGCAAATACCCTTGGGAAAGATATGAATCCACTTCTTCTGACCCCAGCTATAGGTTAATTAGTAAAACTTGTATCACTAAAACATTATCGCAAAAAAAAGAATTTCTTACAATCTAAAAATGTTTTCTGGCTTTAAATAACCTGCAAAGGGTTGATAAGCCGTAAAAAACAAATTAACCAAAATCAAATGAATATTAATAATTAACACCAGTAGAAAATATGTAGCTACTTTTCTTTCTTTTTATGTGCCATGTCCTTTCAGGACATAGGTGATCATGGCTCTCCACCTCCCTCTATCCCTTGAAGCTCTCAACAAGTTCCTTCCCTCTGCTTCCTCCCCCAGACCACATTCTGTCATTCACTTGCTTAAGTCTGCTAGGTATGTCACATGTTGTTTTCCCTTGTCTCTCTTTCCCTCTATTTGACCCATGAGTATCAGATTTTCCAGGCCCTCTTTCCTCATTATGTGTCCCAGAAATTTCAGCAGCCTCTTCCTGGTATAAGCCTCCTCCTTGTTTGCAACCTCTCTAAGATCTCATTGCTGCTCACACACTCGGTCCATGATATCCTAAGCATCCTTCTGTAGAAACACATCTCTGTCACCTTGAGTCTCTCCTTCAACTTTGAGGAAATCATCCAGCATTCGCTGCCATAAAGAAGGACATATATCACAGCTACTTGAACTTACTAGCTAGTTGTTTCTTCAGCTGATCTTAATCTGGCTACAAGGTCACAAATTTGAGGCAAATAGCAGGATTGAACTCACCATAGTAATAATGATCTTTGAAACTAACAACTGCTTTTTGACTAAGCATCTTGATATCTTATGGATAAAAATACTGGCAAATATAGACCAACATGCCAGCAATAAGGACGGTTTTTCCCATGACGCTACTATTATTTTAACTACCTTCACACCTTGGCAATGTTTTTGTTTTTTTTAAATCAAATTCACCCCAAGCAAGGTAGTAAAACCACTAAGACGCAAGTGGTTACTGGGTGTGGAAGAATTAGAAAACAGAAATATTACTAAGGAATGAGAACAAAAGAAGAGTAATCAGGAGGACAGTAGATTGACATTGAATTTAAATTTTTGGAGATTAAAGTTGACTGGAAAACAGAGCCAGAAGGAAGTTTCACAAGTGAGAGGTGTGAGAAAAGAAACCATTAAAAATTTATGGTTACATTTAGCAAATTCAACTGTAAATTAATGAAACCCCAATGTCATTCTAGTATTGCACTTAAATTCAAAAAGTCTAGGTAACATAGTGAAGAGTGATATTTATTTCCACTTCAAATACAGAAATGTGGCACAAGGCCAAAAAAGGGGAATGGGAAAAAGGACAGTCTTCTTCTCTCTTAACGTTAAACTTAGAAACAAACACTGACCCAAAAACACCACAACAATTTATTCTGATATATACACAGAAATGTGGCACAAGGCCAAAAATGGGGAATGGGGAAAAGGACAGTCTTCTTTTGTCTTAATGATAACTTAGCTAGCCACAAACACTAACCCAATCATACAAACAATATTCCTTATATCAAAACAACACATTCTTACTTACCTTTCTTACTACATCTACCATAATACCTCATTGTCTCTGTGAAAATCCTAACTAGTCCCCATATGTACAATTCATTGTCTGTACTATAGCAAAGAGCTTATCTGAACAATTACCATGAAAGTATTTATAGAAAAGGTACAAAGAGGCAACCTTACAGCAGTGGGAAAGTGACTTAAACCGAGGTGCCAGATCAAGACCAATAATATTGCTGATTCTTCTTTGGATATTATTGAGGAACTCTATATATATAGCAGGAGCACCAGACCAGATATGGTAGCAACATTCTAAGCATTGATGTATGGTAGACTTATTAAATATGTAAGATAGATTCACAAGAGAAAAATTGCACGACACTGTTAGCAGTTTATTACTTTAACAAGCAATGATTAGAATTGGAATAAAACCTAAACATATGATGAAAGTGAATTGTTCTTTGTTCTTGAGAATTTACAACAAAAATAATAAACATGATTTATTTATCACCCATTCCAAAAAATAATAAATAGTGTAAATAAACAATCTCAATATTGTTTATTTACACTATTTATTATTTTTTGGAATGGTTGGCAAAACATTGGCAAATTGCCAATTGATTTAAACTTTATAAAATAGTAAATTGTACAAATTTCTTTATATTTGGTTCACATATTTTAATAATTTAGTAAATGTTTATAAATTTATGAAGGAAAAATTGTTTTCACATTTATTTCTTTATAAATTGGTAAATGATAAATATTACATTATATTAGTTTTTACAATGTTGTAATTATAAAATTACTGTTGTAAATAAACAATCTAATATATAAATAGTGTTTAATATTTTTGTTGTAAATTCTCAACAAAAAATAATGTATAAATTCACTTTCATCATGTTTAGGTTTTATTCCAATTCTAATCATTGATTTTAAAATAATAAACATTGCTGAGGAGTGGAGGTAGTTAAAAAAGTGGTGTCATGGAAGAAAAAAAACATCCTTTTGACATTATGTCTTATGGCATGTTTGTCCATCTTTGCCAAAAAACTTGTCATATATTGTATGTTGTAGAGAGAAATGTAAAAAGGAGGTAATCAATCCATTGTTCAAATATTTTATGGAATAGCAATTTTGATAAAATGTTTTGTTTTGTAAATTCTGCAACTGAATGATCATTCTCAGTTAGCTCAATGGTTAATGTGTTTAATTAATTAAGCTAGTTACAAAATCCTGAAGAAGAACTGATTTAAAACCAATTGAGTCACTGCTTTGCAAGAGAAAGAGCTCTAATATGATTAGCAACTTGTGACATTCTATTTGATCATTTAAAAATGAAAATCTTAATTAAGCGTGTTTTCTGGCTTACAAGACACTGTGTCTTGGACGATGCACCCTAATATTGGAAAGAAATTTCTAAGGAAAAAAAAGTCCTTCTCATACAACAACACATTCACCATCTGTCCCTCACATACTGGCACCATGTATTGTTTACATTAATCACTCATCTGATTTTGTTTGTATGGCAATGACATACTAGTCAAGAGCAGAAAGGCACCTGCTGTTGCTAGTAAACAGCATATTTAAGCTTGTGGCTCAGCTTCAGGAAGGTTTAAAGTCTTGGAAATACTTGTAACAGCTAAGTACTGAGGCTACATCATATAAAAGGCTGAATTAGATAGATAGCATTATAGTATAATGACCGAGCCATTCTAAAGTTTGTATGTTTGGTTTAATTTGGGGTGAAAATAAAGACAAAAATTGTCCAACATTTGGATATTTTTTTATTAAGCTGTCTAAGCTTTAGGCTCACATGAGCCATCCTCATATATATATATATATATATATCAAGGGTGTTCCAATATTTTGGATGGATTTTAAATGTGAATTAAGTTTAAGCGTATAATGATTTTTTCTTTTTCTTTCAGATTTAACAAATTAAATCTTTGGCAATTTCAACCATGGAAAGATTAACAATCAATGTGTTAAAGTTTTGAGATTGCAATTGGAAAAATTGTTTGTAAATTCAAACTGGGTTGGTGGCAGATGTGAAAACACCATTGCGTGTTTGTTTATGCTATTCAGCTGAAAACATTGCTGCAGTGCACGAGAATGTGGCTGAAATACAGACATCTCTATTTGTCATCATGTGCAGGAATTGCACCTCTCCACAACAACATCTTTCCAATTGCACTCTTGGTTGGTTGATTATGTTGACCACAATATCACGAAGTGCACAAAATGCATTTCTGCTTGAACATCTATTTTTGTAATAGGCTTTGATAGCTTTAATACATTTGGGGGTGACATTATACCAATAAGTAACTTCCATTATGGAACACGTTTTTTTTTTCCACAATCCATTTTATGCTTCAATGACATTACTCCATGATGCCATTCCTTTAGATGGTGTGTGCACAGTAGAACTGAGGGCAGACTACCCATTCATTTAAGAAGTCTCTGAAGAGTTTACTGCAGAATTCTGTATCATTGTCAACAAGTGTCTCAGTTAGTAGGTTGCACTCACAGAATAGTACCTCCAAGCGTTTGATGATAATTGTTGCGTCTTGCCATTCAGTTGATGCCAAATAGCAAACCGTGTAGGCCTACTGTCAATAAAAGACAAGTAGTTTCCATCTTTGTAGTGGGTTATGTCCATCAGCACCATGTGTTGCTGACATCCAATTCACTTTTTAGTCAACATGCAGGTGATGAGTCAATTGATTGGCATTCTTTGCATTTTCTTCATAAGCAGACATCCCAGGGTTTGTACCAGCTCTGTTCTGGCCATTTGCTTTCTTTCTGCAGAAACCGCACACTAAACATTGTCTCTTTGAACGATGGGGATGGCGACCATTGTCAGTAGCAGTAAGCAGCTCTGTCTGCATTTTGTTTTGCTACAGGTGGTGCACCCATATACCCTTGTATTATCAGCATAGATATTTGCAAATGATTGCAGTATACTCTTAGGCAGATCATTTATGCAAAGTAAAAAGAGGGTTGTGGCCCAAGAAGCAACCTTTGGAGGATGCCTGCATTGATTGCTAGGGCCTCGGAGAACTGGCTGTTGACAATTACCCTCAGGAACCTATCTGTTAGGAAGGACTTTATAATTGAAAAGACTCTTCCAGTGATTCTACAGCTAGAGAGCTTGTGTAGCAACCCTTTATGTTACATCTTGTCAAAGACCTTTGAAATATCTAATGTTATATTCCTTGAATAGTATTTGTTGTCTAGTGCCTCATTTATTCTGAGTAATGGCAGTTAGGATATCAGCATTGGGCTGGGCTGATCAAAATCTGTACTGCTTGTTATTGAAGAGGTTGTTCCTATTTAGGTGATCGACAAACTTCTTGTTGATTATAG